CTGCTATTCAATCTATAACAGTGAAAAAAGTTTTTTGTTTTTAAATCCAAGCTATTGTGACACCAGATGTAAATGGTGGCACTGACTGGGGAAATGGGCACTGTGAGCCTGACACAGAAGCTGGCAGCAGTGGCAGACAACTAAGTGCATTTACATTACATAGAAAAATAAAATAAAAAAAAAAGCATACCCTTATCCCTAACCTAGCTATGCTTTTCCCTATCTTATGAACAGCAGCTACACTTTCCCTCCTCTTACTAAGCATGCAGCTTGAGAATGAATCTAAAATGGATGCTGTCCAGTAGGTGGGAGGGTCTGCTAGGGAGGCTGTGCTGCTAATTGGCTGGAATGTGTCTGCTGACTGTGAGGTACAGGGTCAAAGTTTACTCAATGATGACGAATAGGGGGCGGGTCGAACCGCGCATATGTTCGCCCGCCGTGGCGAACGCGAACATGCTATGTTCGCCAGGAACCGTTCGCCAGCGAACCGTTCGGTACATCACTAATGATAAACTGATAATGTTGAAAATCAACTAAATGAGGAATTTTGGAGCAGTAGCCTTGGGAATTTTAAATTTATATCCAAAATAGACATTGTAAAAAAACTGGGAATTAGGAAAATTCTTCTAAAATAACTTTTTTGACCTAAACTTTTTCTAGTTTATTAACCCATGGTCTTTATGGTCAACAATATTCCGTGGGTTTTAAAAGATGCTTTGTTTTTGATAACATGAGAACTGTGAAGTATTCAAAGTAAACTTTAAATCTAAGGCCAAAGGAGCTGGCTTGGATATTTTTTTCATTTTGCCTATTTTGGCCTTAAATGTGACGTTCACTTTAAAGTCACTTTAACATCCCAGATATTCTCACTTTAGTAAACAACTCTGTATGTTTACCTTGATGCTATTTTACTGGACCTTTTCTATAAATATTCCATAATATTGTTGCTCCCCACCTGTGTCTGTTTTCAGGTATACCACTGATAGACTGTCAGTCTCTTTTGAACTGCTAGACAGTCATACTGTTTTGTTTTGCTTTCCATTAAACAGAGCTTTACTGTGTATTAAAGACCCAAAACACAACATTTTGCTAAAATATGCTGAATTGGAAAAAAATTCTATTAAATCTAGAGTAAAAGTTTGGAGATTTTATCCTAAATGTTGCATTTCAAATTCCAGATCACTACAATGCACAGCTTTGTGAATAAACCTTACAAGTAGAGTTGAGCGAACCCGAACTGAAAAATTCGGGTTTGTACCGAACATTACGTTTTTTGGACCCCGGACTCAAACATGGACATATCACTGTATGTTCGGGTTGGAGTTCGATGTTCGGCGATTTAATGGTGCGTTTTCAAAGGCTGCAGGGCAGCCAATCAACAAGCGTTTGACTCGTGTGCCCTTAGAAGCCATCAAAGCCATGCCTACTAATGGCATGGCTATGATTGGCCAGTGCAGCATGTGACCCAGCCTCTATATATAAGCTGGAGTCGCGTAGCGCCGCACACACATGCGGTCTCATTAGTGTAGGGAGAGGATGCTGCCGCTGAAAGGAACAGCTTAGGAAAGAATTCTGCAAACTAGTGCATTAGTGAGGTGGGGTGCACTTCATATCTGAGAGTCAAATAGAATCGTCAAATACTGCTGTCACATTGCAGTTTTAAAACTTAAAATTATTTGGGTGCTAAATAGTACATTAGTGGAGTGCACTTCATATCGGAGAGCCAAATAAAAGCATCTAATAGTGTGTTTACAGGGCAGTGGTAAACATTCTTATTTTCTGGGTGCTAATCTGCTAAATAGTACATTTTGGGCCTGCTCTTTATATCTGAGAGTCAAATAGAAGCGTCTAACAGTGTGCTTACTGCGTAGTTGTAAACATTATAATTGTTTTGCTGCTAATCTGCTGCTTGCATTGGAGTTTTTAAAAGTTTTTTTGGTGCTAAATAGTATATTTGGGGTGGTCACTTCATATCTGAGAGTCAAATCAAAGTGTAACTTTGATTCAAATTTACTACATCGGTCACTTGTAATATTGTTTCACACCTACAACACTTGTTACACAGATCTAAATGATAGAAAACAAATTGATATTTTCTACACTAGAAACTACCAGATAACAAGCTGCTATTTTCAAACCAGTGATCAATAGCTAAGAGGTACTTCAACAATATTGTAATTCTGGGGCAATACCTGCACAGCATAAGAGGGAGCAGGATGCAAAAGCAGAGCTCGAGAATTACCAGTTATCCAAGTAATACATGTAGCGATCAAAGGATCCATAATAGACTTGAGCGAACCCGAACTGCAAAGTTTGGGTTCGTACCAGATTTAACGATCCATTTGTAGTTTCACAGTGAAGTGGGCAGTCCGGTGACCAGGACCCAGGTACTGTCTGGGCGGCGGTCGGACGACTGGGACCCAGTATGCCTGATGTTGAAGTTAGGAGTCACAGTGTGGAATGGATTAGCAGGGTCTGGTGCAGGGTAACCGCACGCCCCCTGGTGTTGAGCACCAGCATTTGTGTGGCCACATACCAGGACCCTGATGTAGCTTCAGTAAAAAGAGTACTTGATACCAGAAGCCATCACCAGACTGATCCGTGACTTGGAACAGGATTTGACATTCACTGTAGCGGCTATGCGCGCATTTGGCGTTGTCACCCAGCTGCTGTTCGCCTGTCTGTGCTGCAGCGAAACTTCAGCCTTCCCGTTAACCGCCTCATGAGACTGTGCGAGCAGCAGCAGGCGATAGTGGAGTTTCAGCTGCAGCACGCACAGGTCAGTTGCTCTGCACTAGACTTGCCCTCCAATTGATCAGAGTTAAAGGATTTCAAGTGGACTCATTACAATTACAGGGCCTCTAAAGAGTCCTGTATTGTTATTTGTCGTCACTACCTTCTCGCGTCAGGAGTGGGTCATTTGCGCGCCTGCTGCCTTCCTTGCATGTGGTAGCCATTTCTAAAGGTCCCTGTACGGAATGGAACCCTGATTCCCCGTTACCCGTGGTCACCATGGTAGGTGCAGAAACTGGCATAGAAAGTTGATATGGATGACATCCGCATGCAAAGTCGCCGCCACGGGGATGTGCGATTTGCCCAAGTTCTCTAGAGTCAACAAAGTTCCTGCGCAACTATAATGTCAACAACTACTCTGCGGAACTATATATATATATATATATATATATATATATATATACACACACACACATACCAGTGTTGGCTACCACCGCTGATTCCACCTACACCGCCAAGGTCACCACCTCCTCAACATATGGTTAACTTAGTATAAACTAGGTACACATTAGCAGAGGCTTGTGAAGGCCTTTTCTCCATGCATCATAATTTGAGCTCAGTTTGAACAATGAAAGAGAATACCCTGCACTCCAAACCTCTCTCAAATGGATAATTCTGGTGATCCTCCTGACAGCCATGCTTTAGATTTTGCTTTGTTCTTCCAAAACTAAAATCAAAGATTCCATCTAGTGGTAGTTGATGGCTCAGCTGTATTTTTTATGTTATTTTAAGTGATTTCCCTATCCACATTTGTTTGCAGGGCACTTGTCCTGCTCTTAATCCCATTTTACTTCCTTTTGCAGCTCTCTAGCCCTTTCCAGGAGTTTTTTTTAGAGGCATTTTTGTGGCCAAAAGTTTGGGTCCCCATTGACTTCAATGGGGTTCGGGGTCAAGTTCGAGCCCGAACCCGGACTTTTTTTCAAATTTCGTATGAACCCGCCGGACCCGAACATCCAGGTGTCCGTTCAACTCTACTTACAAGGTGTACTGCAATCTGTTTTTAAGGATACCTTTGCTTATAATGTGTTTATATGATGATATGTGATATAAAATAATTATTCTCTATAATGCATTACCATGCTCTAAAAAAAAGTATCTCTTTAACACCTTTTGTATTAACTGTGCCTGGATTAATTTAGTGATGTCATGCTGTTATTATGATGTCACTAACCAAGCTGATAAACGCCCTACTCAGCTCAAGTCTTAGACACTCCACACATCTTTTACAGAACCAAGACACACACATGCACACAGAAATCAGAGTGATGGGAGGAAAACAGTTAATGTTGAAAATGAAACAAGCATGACATTTTGGAGAAGTGACCCAAAAATTACAACCTATGTCCAAAGCAGGTAAAAAAATTTAAATTAAGAGAATATTTCCAACATAACTGCTTTGTGAAATTTCCTAGTTAAAGAAACCATGTTCTTTCTGGCTAATTGTGTATCAAAAGCTTTGTCAGATATTTTTGATTATACATATTTTCTATTGTTTTTTTTTATTTTTTCTTTACATGAGCTTTGATTTCCGATTTTTTGCTAAGCTTTATTATTATTAAATATTTTAGATATACCTTTAAAGATATTTAACAAAACATTTTAATGTTTCTCTACTTTTTAACTATTTATATTATTTGTATCTAGAATATGTATTTTGGATATTGTTTCTGTAACTGTGATAGCTTCATGACAAGTATGTCAGTGAGTGATGCAATTGACATACATGTCGATATTGTCTATGTTGTTTTCATAGTATGAAATTCTTCTGTATCAGGACAGTAGGTCCATTTGATTGTGTAATGATTTCTCACGGCTAGCCAGTAATAGTAGAATATTTGCAAATAGAGAAATAGATAGCTATCCCATTGGGGAGGCCCTGGATCCCAGGGTGTGCCCTGAACTGTTGGATCAAGGCTTCCAATGCCAGAATAGAAATTAGGGGTGAGAGAGGGCAGCCCTGGTGGGTAACATTGGTTATCTCAAATGACTAAGAAGTAAAGCCCGAATTTGATATTTTCGCAAAGGGTTTAATGTACAGGACTAATATGCCACCTAGGAACTTGCTTGTAAAGTCACATTTTCATAGGATGGTCTGCATGTTTTTCCAGTTTATGCGGGTCAATGCCTTTTTGGAGTCCACCGCGAGCTGTATCTCGTTGACCTTAGTTTTGTGTGCTATTTCTATCATGTCTAGGAAACCCCAAAACCTGCCGTTTCCTCCAATTCCAAGTGAGAAAACAATAGGTTACATCTATTAGCCAATAGTTTTGCATAGAGCAGGAGCAGTTCATAGATTCAACTCCTTCAGGGTGCGGTCTCACTCCTCTGTTGATTGCCTTTAGGGCACCATTCCTCTATATTGGTAGTTTTGTGAGGAAACCCCACCTGTATGCTACCTTATGCTGCCACTGGAGGCACTGCCTGCTTGCTAGGCGACTTTTGGTTGCCTAACTGATGCCGGACATACTCATGCTCTGCATGAGGACATCCAGTGTCAGTTAAATTCCCATAGAAAAGCATTGCAACAAAGACATTGGCGCTGGAATCAGGTAAGTACAGTAAGGATTTATTAACCCTTTGTGAACCAGGTGCGGCGTAAGGGAGGGGAGGCTAGAGGAAACCTTGAGACAAGGAATAAAAATGTGTATTCCTTACACTATAGAATTCCTTTAAAACTGGTGCTAAAAATAACCATATCAGACTGGAATAGATCCTTAATAATGACCTTCAGCAACATCCATTGTCTAAACTTAAGTTACAATTTAAGCTGATGAACAGATGGCACTTAGTACCAGAAATAATTGCTAAATTGTATGTAAATAATACAGATTTATGCTGGAGATGTGGCACTTTTAGAGGCGGTCAGACTCATATATTTGGTGGTCATGTCCTTTTATTAAGAAAACTATAGAAAAAGACAGAAGAATTCTTCGCAATTCGGATTGGGCACAAATGTGAGTTCTCCCCAATGAGAGTGCTACTGCATATGTCTCTTAATAATTTAAATAGAAATGAGACCAGAATATTCTTACATCTAGTAATGGCGGTAAAAATTTCCATCGCAAGAAATTGGAAGTCTTCAGTAGTAAGCAACTGTCCAGTTATTAAGACACAATGTAGAATGAAAAGCGGTATAACTAATTCTATAAATAATAGAAAACAGCAGCCCACATTCTGGAATCAAATATTAAAGGAATTAGGAGAAGAAATATATCATGATGAGAGATAGATATCGAGATATATATATATATATATATATATATATATATATATATATATATATATATATTCTCACTCTCATGGGTAGAATCTGGAGCGAAGCAGAAAATAAAGATAAGGGCACAAAAATTTACAACAAAGTTCTGACCAGTGTAGCACAGATATCTATATTTGTACTAGGGTATTGACATTATTTACAGTAGCACCTACCGATACCAAGTCCTATTTTTTTTTTGTCTAGTTTGTAATTATGTGATATGTAATTATGTTGTACATATTTACATGCATGAAATAAGTCTATGAAGAAAAAATAAATAAATAACAAGAAATTTGCCAGACCTTCATCTGGAAGGGGTTAAGAACACATAGTGAAGAAATTCTAATGGAGCAAATACAATCTAAGATAATCACTGTGTGAGTTATATAGAAAATTAGAGATCCCATGAACCAGGTTCTCCTATCAAATTTCATGTAATTGATAAAGTATAAATATTTACCATCCAAAGAGTTGCGTTTTCTATGGCGGGCTATACATATACGTATATTTTATTTATATAGTGCGAACAGGTGTACTTTACATTTTACAGATTGCATTTTAGGGGATGTTCATTAAGTGCAGCAGGAGAACTGTATAATAAGGGGCAAGATACATGAAGATTATTAGAAGTATTCGTTATGTGGCAACATGTTCAGTAGTGCTGTACAATAGTAAACAAGACCAAGTAAAAACATGCAGCCCTTAACCCCTTAAGGACACAGCTTCAGAAGCTTGACTTACGCTTAATGACACAAGCAATTTTTGCATTTTCTTGCTGTTTGCGTTCAACTGCAATTTGCATCTCTCTCATTTATTGCACCGTCACATATTATATACTGTTTTTTAAAGGACAGAAAGGGCTTTAATTTGATATAACATATATATATATAAATGCTTACATATTATAAAAAAAATACAGAAAAATGCAAAAAAAATGAAAAATATTGTTTTTTTTTACAGTTTTTGCAATAATAATGTGTGCATAATTAGTGCAGGTTAAGGAAAGTAATTAAAAATAAATTTATTTATTTGTTCTGATTTACAGAATATATAATGTGTCTGGGATTTTAAGTTTTTTTTGGTAGTTACAGGTCACAAAGCACAAGGAGTAAAATAAACTTTTAATGTGGAGCGATTTTAGAATTTGGTATGTTTGTCTTGTAAGCTTAATAGCCATAAAAGAAAACAAAATTGCCACACAAAAGTATATATTTATATAAAGTAGACATCACGGGCTATTTACCTAAGGTTGTTTTGACACTTTCTACGTAGCCATTTCACCGCCAACCTCTGCTAAATATTGGAGTAAAATTGTGTTCTTTTTGGTTTTTGGCACACAAACTTATAACAGAGAAATTCTCGTGTATATTTTGTAAAGTTGGTGAGTGCTATTCCTGTACAAAGTTTTATTTTGTGTTCAGTTACATCTGCTGAGTAAAATGACACCCCCATTGTATGTCTTTTGCACTATTTCGTGAAGTTACAGTGCCATACAGGATACCTGTCCTTTTCAGTATTCACAGTAGAATTTTGAGAGATGAATTTAATGAGCCTTAGCTTCCATTTGGGGTATTATAACAGTTTGACTGTTCAAAAAACCCCCACAAAGGCCTACCATTTGTAAAAGTAGACACTCCAGGGTATCTCATAAGGTGCATATTGTGCCTTAACATACCCCCATTTTTTCACCAATATATGCCAAAGTATGTGGTAAAAAAATAATTTTGTGCATTTTTTACATACGGATTGCATTTTTGCTGGGCGTTTTGTATATTTCATATGTGCCACTAAGTTCAAACCTCCCAAATTATGCTCAGCTAAGTCTTTTGAGTAAAAATACACCCCCAATGAATGTCTTTGTCACTATTTTGTGAAGCTACAGTGCCATATAGGAGACCAAGCCATATCCGTTTTTACCAAACTTTGAATTTTGACGCTGGGCCTATGTGCAATTTCCAAGCATCTTCGCAGGTTTTAAATTCAAACTACCCCACAAAGGCCTACCATTTCTTAAAGTAGACACCCCAGGGTGTTTCAAAAGGTATAGTTTGAACCTTAGTGTGGGATCATTTTTCCGCTAGCTTGTACCAGATGTAGTGGTAATAAGCGTTTTTTCTGCCTTTTTGACATACAAAGTGAGTTTGCACAGTATATTTTGCAAACCTTATGTGTGCTACGACTGTATAATACTTCATATGTTGCTCAGCTATGTCGGCTGAGTACAGCAATACCCCCGTATGT